AGGGCTCTCTAGGGCAGCAGTCCCCAACCTTGTCAGCACCAAGGATTGGTTTCATGGAACACAATTATTCCACGGGGGTTGGGGGGGAGGCGGAGCTCAGGCGGTGATGCGATTGATGGGGAGTGGCTGTAAATACAGATGAAGCTTCACCCAGTGGCCCTCTGCTCACCTCCCGCTGTGTGGCCCAGTTCCTCGGTTTCATGGATGACAAAACAAAACGGGTAGGGGAGCAGGGCTCAGGCGGTGATGCCCAGCCCAATTCCTAACAGGCCCAGGGGGAGGGGGGTGATTGGGGACCATAGCTCTAGGGCACAAATGAAGAGATCATAACCTCCAAATTTTTTTTAAAAAAACAAGTTCATTATATGTGTAAAACAATTTCCTGCATAGGCCGGGTGTGGCGGCTCACACCTGTAATTCTAGCACTCTGGGAGGCCGAGGCGGATGGATTGCTCGAAGTCAGGAGTTCAAAACCAGCCTGAGCAAGAGCGAGACCCCCATCTCTACTATAAATAGAAAGAAATTAATTGGCCAACTAATACATATAGAAAAAATTAGCCGGGCATGGTGGTGCATGCCTGTAGTCCCAGCTACTCGGGAGGCTGAGGCAGGAGGATCACTTGAGCCCAGGAGTTTGAGGTTGCTGTGAGCTAGGCTGATGCCACGGCACTCACTCTAGCCTGGGCAACAAAGTGAGACTCTGTCCCAAAAAAACAAACAAACAAAAAATGTTCCTTCATACATATTCATATATTTCAAAAATGAAAAAGATCCAAAGGCATATCCAAGGAAAAATTCTATCCACTAGCCCCTCAATTCCTTTCTCGATGCAACCAACACCACGAGTTTCTTGTGTATCCATCTAGAGATATTTGATGCTTATACGAACGCACATATATATTCACTGTCCCCTTTTTAAAATGCAAGTGGGAACATGCAAGTCACTCATGCTTCTTACACTTAACGATGTGCCTTGGATCTCACTTCACATCACTATAGGAAAAAGCATTCTCATCCTTTTTCGTAGCTGCTGAACATTCCATCATGTGTACATGCCATAATTCATTTGAGGCCCTACCAGTGGACACGAAGACAGAAAACACGTGTAGCTTTGAAAACAAACAAACAAACAAAAAGTTCCTGTTTCTATGAAATTCATTGTTTTTCTTTCCACTGCTCACTTTGGAGGCCACGATCCAGAAGTCCGGTAATAATGACTCGCAGTGTTTACATTACTGAAGTTCAAACACCTTTCAGGATAACGAGGCTGAAGGACAAAGCTCGGAAGCTTTGCTATTCATCCAATAAACCCTGGCATGACAGAAAACACTTATTTGGATAATTATGTCAGCATTTAGGAGTTTCTCCCTTTAAAGATTAATGTTTAACAAGCAGAAATGCGAAGACAAGAAGGAAGGAGGCTGGGTGTTCAGCAAGTGGGGCTTGTCTGTTTCACTGCAGCCATGGGCCACCTACCCTCAGTCCCAAATGGGGCATAGCCCTGCTTTTTTTACTTATTTTTTAGGCTGAGCAGCCTCAGAGCAGAGAATGTCTCAGGGGAAACCCTCCTACACGGGGCTGAGATCTCCACTCGCTTGTGCTGGAAATCCACTCACTTCCACCTGTAACTCCATGGTGCCAGCATGTCATTGCCCCCCCCCCCGCCCCCGAGAGTTAGCCTTTCTGAATCTGTTTCCATGCGTAAATGATCAAAAAATACCTGCTCAGTTGATCTCACAGGGCTGCGTTAGGAGTGAACAATCTAGTCCATGTGCAAATCATAGGACAACAACTATATTAAGCAAAGAAGGGACAGACAGGTGACACGTGACACAGGAGTTATGGAGTCGGCCAAACCTGGTGTTGAATCCTGACTCACTCGCTCCTCCTGTCCTTTCCATGTGTCCATAGTCTCCTTGATTTGATGTGAAGATCTTACACTTATCCTACCCTCAGACAGGATAGGTACAAGGAATGAGACCAACGCTAGAAAAGATGGAAATGAACATTCTGGGGCACTTCCAGATATGCTTGTTGTTCATCCTCCTACTTCCGCAAGCTGAAGGGGATCTGTCCACATTCAACAGGTGACAAATATGGCTCGGCCCCAAATCCCGGGTTGCACAGCCTGTTCAAAGACTTGGAAGAGTCTTGAAGCCTCGCCAGGATTTGGCACTGGGGAGAACCAAGTCCTCCTTCTGCCGCTCGCCTTGGAGCATGAAATGCCTTTTACAATGAGGAAGGGATTCTTTCTAAGGTTAGGGGACACCTCTCATGGGGACAAAGAGTGGAGAGAAGCTCCACTAGGCGAGCCTAGCAGAGAACAGGGCGGCTTATAGCTCCGGGCCCAGGTCTCTCTCTATATGAGCTACCTGGGGCCTTTTCATCACCTGCCACTTCATGTCCCCCTGCCCAGAGGGTCCAGGGGTGCAGAGGCAGGGGCTGGAACGAGAACTGGGGCTTCTAGCCTGACAAGACTCAGTCGCAGTCTCTTCCTCATCGGACCTGTTGCTGAGGGCAGCCGTCCACACTGCTGTGACCTCCAGTGACCCAGAGAAAATTCCCTTTATTAGCGGAGAAGTCTTTCTTCTTTTTATGAGAGAAAAGAACGATCATGTCTTACTTAAAGACTCTGTGTGTGTGTGTGTGTGTGTGTGTGTGTGTCACACAGTGTCAGTGTCTGCAGCCCCTGTCCAGCTTCCCAACAAGGCCACTCTGCAGACAATCAGCAAGTCTCCGAGAGAAAAAATTGGAGGTGGGAGTAGGGAGGAGGAGGAAGAGGGCAGGGAGGGTGACATCTCTTCCTTCTACCCTCTGCTCATCCGCAAAGCCCCAGGAGCCGCCCAGGACGTCCCTGCCGGGTCTGCCCAAGCCTCTGCAGACAGTAGCTTTCCTCTCCCAGCCAGGGGATCCCCCACGAACTCACCTGGGTGCCCAGGTAAATTTCAATAACTTTTCCACAAACTCATCAAAAACCTGTAAGATGAACTCCTGCGGAAGCTGATTGTTCAAATCACATTGAATAAAAAGATACTCATACATACCCACTCACTCTCATGTCTCCCAGCCCCCCCATCCATGACACAAACATACTTTCTCAAGAGCCACCTGGATCCACCAGAGAAAACCTGCCACCCTCTAGAAGGGACCTTGGTAGGCTCAAACCCAGTCTTCTCTCCAGCGAATGGTTATCCACGTTTTGGGTAAGGCTTTGGAGTCTGTTACTCCTGCAAGTCCCCAGACTGATCCAAGAGCCTGTTTCACCACTTAGTTTCAGCCCAAGCACGTGCGGGAAGGGGGTGGCCTTTTAAATGTAAGGGGAGTCCTGTGCGCCCCAGTTGGTTAGACCCCTGGTCCTGACGCCATCCTCCCCCCCACCCCCACGCACACTTACAGCCTTCCTGCCTTTGAGATCACAGAGGAGAATTCTAAATTCAGAAAATTCCAGCGCAGGCTCTATCACGTGTCCATTTTTGCATCAACTTAAAGATAATCGCCTCATCACAAATGGGGGTCATGGGTTGAGAAACTAACACATGGAAGAAAGAACCTGCTGGAAAACAGTCGATCTTTGGATTAAAATTGTCTGCGCTTCTTGGCAGTTCACGGTGGAGCCATCTCTGGTCTCCCAACCTTATGCGTCTTTCGGGCTTCACTCTTGGGTCTCAGAAAGTCAGTTGAATATTGTGTGACGTCTAAAAACAGGAAGTGTGTTTAAGTCACTGTTCTTAGGAGGCCTGGGCTTGGATGTTGGGGGGAGTCTGAATATCCAACAGAAGCTTCTGGCGGGACAAGGGTCAGAAAAAGGAAGCGGCTTGCTGCACCGCAGTCTGTGATAAAGTGTGTCTTGGGGCAGAGCGCATACGTTTTGTGTTTGTTTGTTTGTTTGTTTTTTCCAGAAAAGAAAGGTCGAGAAAGAAAAAAAAAAGTCACTCATGGCTGGTCCCGGTGGCCAGTTAGAAAGGTGAGAGCCTGGGGCTTTGAAAACGGTTCACGCTCTGCCCTTTAGCTCCGATGCCCTCCCTCCGGATTGCTCCGGACCAGACGATTCCATGGACTCCTTTTGTACCCGGTTTATTGCCCAGATCCCCTGGGGTCTCGAGTTGCTGCAGTGGAAACGCGCCCCACTGAGCTGCTGTCGCAGGCGGCCCCTCCCGATCCCCATTCCCTTCCTAGGGCTGGGGGGTCGGGGAGCGACGCTGAGCGCGGCGTCGCTGGGGACCGGGATGGGCGCCCGAGCCAGGCTCCGGGCGGTGTGGCGAGGCGCGCCCCTGGCCCTGCGCCGCGTCCTGGGTCGCCTGGAGGGGACGGGCTCGCCTTCCCGACCACTGCACAAAACCCCGCAAGCTGCAAGGGCCCTGAAAGTCGGGAGATGGGTTAGGCTCCGAAAGCAACCGAGGCCGGAGCCCCCGCCGCGCCCGGGTAAGGGGTGGCGGAACGCACCACCGCGGGCTCGGAGGGCAGCACCCTCGGACTGCCCAGGCTGCCGCCGACCCCGGAGGAGGACCGCCGCCACTGGACTCCACTCCCCGCCGTCTGGGCCACCAGAGCGCTCCCCGAGAACCTTCTGTGGCTGCGCGAAGACGCGCGCCGCGGCTGTCCAGCCCCAGGGCGGCGGCGGGCGGGCCGCAGGTGTCCCCCGAGCGGCGCGCGCAGGTAGGATCACGGCAGCGGCTGGGGAGGGAGCAGCCGGGCCGCGCGGCCCGCCCCCGTCGCCCCGGGAGCTCCCGAAAGGAGCGAGGCCCCGGCGCCGGCCGCGCTCTGATTGGCTGGCGCGGCGGGCCCTGGCACGCGCCTGTGGATGTAGCTATAAGAGTCCTCGCGTGCCGGGCCTGCGTCTCAGCGCGTCGCGCGCGCTCCAGCGCAGCGCGGCGCGGCCCGGAGCGCAGCGCCGCGCCACTGCAGGGAGGCCGGCGCGGGCGCCGAGGAGGGGCTGCGCCGGCCGCGCCCGCACTCCTCCGCGGGACCCTCGGCCGAGCCGCGCGGCGCGGCGGCGCAGCATGGACGCCGTGCTGTTGGAGCACTTCCCCGGGGGCCTGGACGCCTTCCCTGCTCCTTACTCCGACGAGGAGGACTTCTTCACGACCAGTCCTCCCGCGACCTCTGGAGGACGGCGATGAGCTGCTGGCGGACGAGCAGGCGAGGTGGAGTTCCTCAGCCACCAGCTGCACGAGTACTGCCACCGCGACGGCGCGTGCCTGCTGCTGCAGCCCGCGCCCTCGGCCGGCCCGCTCGCGCTCGGCCGCCGCCTCGGGGGCCCGGGAGCCGGGGGACGGCGGCGGCTACTGCTGCGACGCGGGGGCCCCCCGGCGGCTTCCCCTACTCGCCCGGCTCGCCGCCCTCCTGCCTGGCCTACCCGTGCGCGCGGGCGGCCGTGCTGTCCCCGGGCGCGGCTGCGGCCTGGGCGGCGCGGCGGCGCGGCGGCGCCGGCGGGTGCGCTCCGAGGCCGAGCTGCAGCAGCTGCGGCAGGCGGCCAACGTGCGCGAGCGGCGGCGCATGCAGTCCATCAACGACGCCTTCGAGGGGCTGCGCTCGCACATCCCCACGCTGCCCTACGAGAAGCGCCTCTCCAAGGTGGACACGCTGCGCCTGGCCATCGGCTACATCAACTTCCTCAGCGAGCTCGTGCAGGCCGACCTGCCGCTGCGCGGCGGCGGCGCGGGCGGCTGCGGGGGGCCGGGAGGCGGCGGGCGCCTGGGCGGGGACAGCCCGGGCAGCCAGGCCCAGAAGGTCATCATCTGCCATCGGGGCACCCGTAAGTGCGCCCGCCTCGCAGTTCCGGGAGACAGGGACTGGCACGCGGAGGCCCCGGAGCGGGGGTGGGGGACAGACTGCCAAGCAGTGAGGGACCGGCCGTCGGTGGGCACCTGGCAAGCTCGAGCGCCAGGTCGCGTTTCTGGTCCCCGTCCCCCCTCCCGACACTTTGAACCCAGCTGTCGGGGTGCGCGTCTGGCCCGACTGGCAGCTCCTGGGCTTCCGAGAAAGGGGCGCGGGGGACTGAGGGGTGGAGGCAGAAGGTCGTTCTAGTAGAACTGTAAGATGCCTGTTGAGTGAGGTGGCCCTTAGGGTACCCTAAAGACCCCGAGGGGACTTCCGGGGACGTGGTTAGGCATTCACAGTCTGTTTTCTTTTCTCGTCTCCCCAGGGTCACCCTCCCCCAGCGACCCGGATTATGGCCTCCCTCCGCTTGCAGGACACTCTCTCTCATGGACTGATGAGAAACAACTCAAAGAGCAAAATATTATCCGGACAGCCAAAGTGTGGACCCCAGAGGACCCCAGAAAACTCAACAGCAAATCTTCCTTCAGCAACATAGAAAACGAACCGCCCTTCGAGTTTGTGTCCTAAGTCCCAGGCTGCGGCCCGACCGCGTCTCTGTGCATGTTGTGCATGTAAATATCTGTAATGGGAATGTAATTTAAGAATCAGATTTTTCTAATGGCAATCAACTCTTTGTTATTTATCTATTTATTACCCTGTTAATGAAATAGGTGCTCTCTTTTTAAATATATAATTTATATAATTTATCCTGATTTTCTGAAAATATGCAATAGCCTGTGATTCTCTTGGCACCTTCGGCAGACCCCTGCGTCGTTGGAAGAACTCCGGCCCGAAAGCTCCATGCCTATTTATTGCCAGATATGGCTTACTTCTAAGCGTTCTTAATAAATGCTATTCACACCTTTTTCTTAAGGCTATGTGTTTAGTGCATGATTTGGTAGCTATCCCTTTACAAACAACTGACTCAGTGAAAATTAACTGAGTCAGAGACTCAAACTGTAGCTATCTGGTAAGAAATCACTTTTTATTTAGATTTAACCTGAAAAGGGGTAGTTTAGAGGCTTGGGTCTCAACTCTCTATGACAACCTTGCATCTGCATCGCCTGCCCTAAATAGCAATTACCTTTGCCTGTATTTGCATCCCAACTTCCAAATACCCTAGGAGGCAAACAAGTCGTGGAGTATTTATTGTCCCCACTTTCCAGAGGGGAAAGCTAAAGGCCGGAACTGACGTTTGGTCTCCCCAAGGTCGTCCCCACCCTGTGTGAAAGCGAACGCGCTGGGTCTGGTGGGAGCTGAGAGCTGCTTTCCGGGCCGGCCAAGGGACGGGGACTTCCCCCTCCACCGGCTGGGGGGAAAGGGCCCTGTGACTCATCCCTTCCGCGGTTGCCTCGAACTCAGACGTACTCCTCTCAAAGGAGATGGGACAGGCAACGGTGCGGAAGCCTGGGGACCACGCGGAGGCCACCCCAAAACGCCCAGGGTCTTTTAGGTAAGGCTGGAAGGAGTTCACCTGCTACCCCTGCCACCTGTGCACCTGGCTTACTTCTGAAACTGACTCGACTGGCCTCCACCAGAACTGCGCGCCCCGCGCCTGCAACCTGGGGAGAAGGGGAGCCTGGGGCGGGGGACGCAGGGTCGCCCCCTAGCGAAAGGGAGAGGCGCGAGGGCGCAGCCGGGGTCGCTCAGCCAGGGAGTCCAGGAAGCCAGGGCTCAGCCTCGTCTCCTCCGCGGCCACAGGCGCGTCCCAGACCCTTGGGAAGCCCCCGCCTGCGGGCTAGAGCCGGGGCGCGCGGCGAGGATGGCGAGGCCGGGGCGCACGGAACCCGCGGGCGCAGGCTGGAGACGCGCACTCCCGTGGGACGGTCGCCAGAGCCGCGCAGGCCGGGCCACGGCGGGTGCCGCTTGAGCCCCGCAGCGGCCGGGGCAGCCAAGGTACAATCACGAATCGCCCCCAGTGCCCACGGCCCTGGCGGAGGACATAATGTCGGCAGTATGCTAATTGCTTTAACCCAGTTTCAGTCCCACCGAGGGGTTCCCGGCGCGCCGCGGGTGCCATGGACCTCGTCCAAGAGCAATTAAAGCGAGGCCGCGAGCCCGACCCCGCGGCGCGGCCTGGCCAGATCTGCGGAGATTCTGGGTCGCCAGGCTCCCCAAGGCCCTTGGCCATGGACCCGCTCACCCTTCCAGCCTTCGCGCCCTCTCCCGCCCCTCCCCCTAAAGATGATTTCACAGTGGAGACAGAACTTGAGAACGAGAGAAAATAATTCGATTTAGTCCTGTATTAGGGCCTCATTAAACACGAAAGTTGCTTTTGCACAAGCGCTTCCATCAGGCATGTAATCTCATTACGCTCATTAGAAAGTCAAATGTTAGGCGGACTCCAACTTAATTCTAAGTTATGGAAGTACTGGACCCTTTTCTTCGGCTGTGTAGACCTGCGTTTCTGTTGGATTGGGCCATGTGGCCATCCACAGTTAAAACACTACAATCATTGTGATGTGGCACCTTTTATTTTGCGTGCCACTTTTTTTGTGATTCAATGCCTCAACACATCCTTTAGTGCGGTGCAGATGAAGCGGAAGAGCCGAACTGAGCTGCAAAACACCAGGGTCTCTATCTTGTCACTCTCTGTCCTGACTTGGCAAGTCCTTTTAAGCACAACCTTCAAAGAGACTGACAGCTTCTTTTTATTTACTCATAATCCATTCATTCTAGTGTAGCAATTCTTTAAAAAAAAAAATGCAGCAGTAAAAGCAGAACAAACGTATCATTTCAGAGTGTCCTTTGGCTGCAGGGAGGCCCGAGCAGCAAGCAGTGCTGGGTGCAGGAGTCATGCTCCTTGTGGCAGTGCCAGGCTGGAGAGCCTCTGGCCTGGGGCATCTCTGGCCCATAAATACAGCCTGGCACTAGAAGGACCATGTGGGGGCAGTCTGAGTGACAGGTATTCAGCAGTGCTTGTAAATCCACCCTTTCCTTCCAATTTAAAAAAAATGCATATGAAAATAATCGAGTAAGCCAAACTCCTGGACGGTTGGTGGAGAGCCCTTGCCCAGCCTGGCTCTTCTGAACACCCATCAGCCCCTGCGCTGAAATCCAGCCTGGGACCACCAGAGGAAGGAGTTTAAAGTCCGCCCGGGCTGCCCTTGTCCATTTAGCATAATAAAGAAGCTGCAAACCCGGTACAGGGTGCATTTTATGATCTCTATTGGAGAGCTGGCTGAATCATTCCCCAGTGGTCCAGACTCCACTGCTAGCGGTGGGGGTGCAGGGGGAGGGAGTCCTGGGGTGGGTTTGATAAAGTCTTCTGAGAGCAGAGGTTGCCCAGGACACCCTGCCATCCCCCAACATCTTACCCCCTCCTGCCAAACACGCATGCTCAATTCTAGCCCATCCTACTGCTGGTCTTCCTCCCGGGCTGCCGTGCCTCTCTGATTTGGTGTCAGAGTGCCAGCAACTCTACTCAGTCAAAGCCCTTTCTGCCCTTCCTCCTTGGGCATTAATGCCAAGGTCCTCTTGTGGTTACCTGAAAAAATATTAAAAGTCACAGGAAAGGTGCTTTCTGTTTTCAGAAGCTGGGAAACTGAGGTACCATTCCTAGTCCCTTCAGGTTTTTTTTTTTTTTTTGAGGGGACTTTCAGTTCTGGGGTGAGGCAGGGAGAGGTAGCTCTTGAAGGAGGAAAGAGGAGGGACAGAGGGGGGGAGGGAAAGAGGCGAGGGAGGGAGACAGTCCTGCACCCTGAGCTGGCAGCCTGGGGCTTGGAGCCCTCTTGTGGAGCTCGTCCTTCCCAAGGAGGAAGCTCCACGGGAGTGATTGCAAACTCTCCTACAACGTTGCACCTGGGGCCTGTAGGTCCCGGAGGGCAGAAAAAGTGGGTGGGAAAGAGAGGGAGCCTCCCTCCCGCCCCAGGCCGGGAGCAGAGAGCATAAAGGGCCTTGTTGGCGCTCCTGTGAACCCGGCCCAGAGAGATTCTCAGGACTGCTCATCTGCCAGCGCCGGGATTAACGCCCCTCGCTGGAGAGGGGCGTGAAGCCTCTTAAATCCATAAACTCATCCCCTTTCCATTAATGGCCCTTTGCGGTGGCACCGAATACCAGCTGCGGGGTTGAACAAACACCAGTTGAGTGCTCCCTGGCGAACCTCTCTGGGCAGAGCCCTCGCCCTCCCTCTCTCCCTCGCCCTCCCTCCCTCTGCCTTCCCAAAGCCTTCTGCAGCCTGTGGGAATGGTCCTAAATAATTCCACTACCAATTGCGTCGTTGAGACCTGGAACCACTGGTAGGAAACGATTCCCACGAAGGGGACGCGGGGTCTGGCCAACAGGTGTTCGGATTTGGCCCAGGGAGATGGGAAACGCAGGGAGAGAGGCAGGGCTGCCAGAAAGCAGGCTGCTCAGGGCCTCCCGGGCTTTACAGGCCGTGGAAGCCGAAGACAATCGAAATGATATCTTTATTGCTAGGTTCATGTCCTGGGCTATAACATATCAATCCCTGTCGTGGGGCTCTGGGATGCACCTGGTATTTCAAACTTGTTCTTTTTGTGCTTCTGGGTCCTGGGCTGCAGCTGCCTAAAACAAGCAAAGAGAGAGGCCCTTACAATGTCTCCAAGACGTGTTGGCATGGTTTGCCTGTCTTTAATGTACCATTAACTATTGTCTTTACACAATATGGGAACTGTAAAGCATGACATGTGTTATAATAAAACACATTTTCAATGATACACTTGGACTTGAGGCTGGGGTGCAGCAAACAAACAGGCCCAAATCTTGTTTTGTCTCCCTTGCTAAGCTCACTGGCAATTAAACTTAAGGCCACTGTTTTCCCCCTCCTGATCAGCCAATTAAATTTTATGTCTCCTAATTTTTCACATAGAAAAAAAGTCTCAGTGCTGGCCCCTAAAGACATTGATTTTCTTGCTATCACCTGGCGCTCAGACCTTAGTTCCATTTATCAAGAAGGGAAACGTCAGGCGTTACATAAAGTGACTCTGTTACCATAAGGCTCTCACCATCCTGGCCTATTGTTTTCCCTTGTTAATAACTCATTACCAGGATTTAACAAATCAACCATTACATATGTTTTGTGTCTCCATATTTTGATCCGTACGATTAAGCAGATGTTACGATTGAAAATTGAAAAGTCCAAGGCTACTCTAGTCTGAAAGAAAGAGGGCAGCCTCAAACAACGAGCTAACAATGAGATTCAGAAGATCTTCAGAAAAACATTTACCACCAATAAACAGACTCCAACCTGCTCCATTTCAACCATTGTGTGCTTTGGGGGAATAATTAAGTTTAATAGGAATAGGTCTGGAGGGTTTTCAATGCCAAGACCACAGGTGCGGGGTGGCATGATGAATGATTTGCCTGATTTTTGCCAAGCTCAAGGGCTCTTCTCTTGGACTTTCAAGCAGATAGAAAATATTGTCATTTCTTTTAATTCACAGCATTACTTTCAAGCCGAACAAAGGCCGGGGCCGGGGGGAGGCGGGGGAAGGGCTCGGCTGTAATGAAGCGCCTCGGAGGCGGAGGTGCAGCCGTGGAGGCTGAGGCGACAGCGGAGCGCGCTGCTGCGTTTGTGCGCAAGTGACTCTCCTGTGCCACACACAAAGGGCCTCCCTCTCCCCACCTCCTGCCGCCTTTCAGCCCTCGGGCCCCTGCCGAGCCGGCTCCCCGGACTCCGGGGGGCTTCTGGCCGCATCCCCAGGGCAGCCCGGCGTTTGGGACGTCCGCGGCTGCCAATGCAAACCTCGCCAAACTTTCCCCAAACTCTGCAGGCCGGGGAGGGACCCTGGCCGGAGGCGCGCATGCGCCCCGCCCGCTGCTGCGCGTTCCCAGGGCTCGGGAGAGCCGGGGTGGAGTCGCACGAGGATCGCGCCAGGCCTGCCTCGCCCCTGCTCCCCGCACTGTCGGGGGTGGGGGGCTGGCTGTCTTCCCTGGAGGCTGGAAGTGGCTGCCGGGCGCCGGGCTCTCCGCAGTGCTGCTATCTTTGCGCATGGAAGTCTCCAAGAGGGGCTCCGGGATGCAGCGGGCAGGGAGAGGGGCGGAGGGCCTGCAGGAGGCCAGGGGATGGGGCCCTCGGCCTCCTAAGAGGAGGCCCGGGGCAACTACGCCCCACGGTCGGGCGGGAGGCCCTCGGGAGGCCGCCTGCCGAGGACCCTGTGCCTGGGGCGCAGGCTGTGGCGAGCTGGGTTTGCCTCTTGGCTGAGTCGCCGGCGCTAGCAGCGGCAGTGGCGGGGGCGCAGGTTTCTACCCGGCCCCACTTTGAAGCCCCTGGGGATCTACTCTTGCTTCTCGGGGAGTCTGGGCTCTTGGCCGATCCCCGCAGCTTAATGCCACCCCCTTCCCTGGCTGGCTGGCACCTGTTCCAAACAACCTGTTGCGCCGACAACGCTTTGGAGAGGCGCGGGCGCTTGGCTCGGTGGAGGCGGGCTGGGTGGAGGCCCCCAGCCTCAGGAAAGCATTTTGGGTTCCCTGTGAGTGAGAGGCCCCCCCTCCCCGCCCCCTGTGGCACGCGGAGTGTTCCACCCCTGCCTGTGGCCCAGGAACCCAAGGCGTCCTGGGTGCCCCTGCGCCTCGCCCGCTGCAGGGGCTTCTCAGGCGGCGCTTTGCAATCCGGGTGGAAAGATTAGACAAAGGTGGGGATTAAACATCCACCCCCGGCTGATTAAATCCTGTCGCCTCCGGGTTCCCCTCCCCCATCCAAAAGCCAGCTTGGAATCTTGGGTCGCCCGCCCCCACCCCTGGTCCCTATGTAAGTGCTGATGGAAAAAGCTAGTTATATTCGCTCTCGGGTCCTAGAGGAAATGGCTTTTGGGGAAGTCTCACTCTTAAAAGTTTTTTTTTTTTCTGACCTATTTCTAGTTTTGCAGTTTCTCTTCAGCGATTGCACAGGATCCTCTTTAGCTCCTTTCTTGTTTGGGTCGCTGGGTCTCTCCTAAACAGCTCGTGAGTCGCCTGTCTCCAGAGTGCAGCCTTTGGAATCGGGTTTAGGGGTGAGAAGTCTAGCCAGGGGATGTTTCTAGGGAGAGTTTTATTATGAAATCCAGTTGGGCATGCGCCAGCATTGGGATTTTTAAAAAATATAGACCTGGACTCCCATTGGGTCGACTCAGAAGAAATTCATCTCCTGGCGTTGGTCAGTGACATGCTAAATACAAATAAAATTTTTAAAAACGAGCCACTATGTGAAGGACACCTGGCTGCAACCTAACACGGGTGCACATAATTAAATGTTAAGGTTCAACAGTTACCATCTGTGACAAGAGCAAACGTGTGACACCTCGAAGCAATGATTGGGAAGTTTTTCCATACTTTTGAAAACATTCTTGACGCCTCATTTCTTTGCTGCTCAATAGACGCCACTCTGGTCGCCGGGCCACCCCCTCCCCGCAGTTCCTCTTGCGCGCTGCGCTTCCATCCAGCACTTGAATTGTGTTGTCAACGTTGAGCGGACGAAGGAGGAGGGGGCATGAGAACGGGAGGGTGTCTTGAAAAGTCTTGGAAATCGGTATATTTTGCAGGTGTAGAATGCGCCTAATAACCATGGCTAGTGCGCGCTCTCCAATGGCGAGGGTATGACAGGGACAGCTGGCTCAGTTTTCAGTGTGAAAACACCCCCTCGGTGGACCAAACACAACGACACTGACCTTTCTTCGGGGGGAACCAGAGATGTGCCTTTGACTGAATTAGCCATAAAGACGTCTTGCTATGACTTTTGTTCCCCACGAAAGCAAAGAAATATTGCGTCTAATACGAGAAGTGCTGTTCACAGCTTTTCCGTGCCCCTTAAGAAATATTACAGTGCTGATTTACTGGCCCTCTTCTACAGAGTTGGCGCCAAGGCCGGCGGGGGTGGAGGGGTGGGGGTGGAGGGGTGGGCATGGGGCTGCGAGGACAGAGAAGGAAGAGGAGGAGGAGTCCTGAGCTAAATTGCCTGTTGCCGGTTTCCAAAGTTCTCTCTTTGCAGCAGCAAATTTATCAATCTTTTCATCTGACAATACTTTGAAATATATCATTGTCATCCAGAGTTGTTTGATAGATTATCTGCAGGCACCCAGCCTTTTCCAAGGTCAAGTTGAAGATTCTTGTTTGCTGTTTAACCGGGTTGTTTAAAAACTCAGAACAATGCCTGCCTGTTAAATTTTCACTTGTTCTCATGGGGCATTCGAAAGCAAGTTCTCCTATTGACCCGGTCCCTGGACATTTCATCCTCTTGAGCTAAATTCAGCGAACAGGGCTTGGCAATGAAATGAAGAGGAGAAGAAATGAGATTTAAGCTTAGCATTTGCAAGAGCCAGTGAGATTAAGCCATCTTTCATATCTCCTCAAAGTGTGTACTAATTCTCTGCGTGTTGCAGGCTGGTTATAGCCACATGCATCTCATTCAGCTTCCTGACTTTATTCCAGTGGGAAGCAGCAAACACACTCCCGAAGAGCAGAAAGCAGAAAGGGAAAGACATTGTGGCCATTCTTGTTTTTTGCCAATGCATAACCTGTTGCTCTAAGGACACTTTTAAAAGTTAGCTTCTACGTTGTCTTGTTTTATGGACATATTTATTTCTGTTTTTAAAGGAAAGACTGGCTTCACAGTTTCCTCTATATCTGCGATGATTGATTTTTTGCAATTCAACTAACTTTTATTTACCTTGCAATAATGTTCTGGACCAATGTGATAAATTACAGATATGCAAATTTCTTTGAATGGTGTTGTAAGTGTGTCTAGCTGGAGCTGAATAACTCCTTGCAAGTCAGTCTGTGCGCGCTCAGGACCCCAGGGAGCTGATCAAAGCACCCATTCTCTTTCATCCCTGGTATTCTCCTCCAAACTATTTCGATACAATATGTTTCCATGATGCACTTAATGTGCTAGGGACATAGAACTCATTACAACCTAGCTAGTTCTGCCGACCTCTTTGTTCGGAGGCAGAAAGTCAAAGAAAAAAGGAAAAGCCCTGCCAGTCGCCAGCTTTCTGAAATGCTAAAGCATGCGTCATTTTTCACCAGGTCTCGTCTTGATATCCTCAAAAGACAAACTATGAAACCGGCCTCAGCCCTTTCTGGCATTAATTACACTGCTGTCCAGCCGATCTGTTTTTCCTATTATATGCATTTCTCAGCAGGGATTTTTTTTTTTTTTTTGCAAGGCCAATGCAGCTGCAAGTTAAACTATGAATGCATTTTTATCACTACGGAAAAAAAATAAGGGAGAAGGCTACCAAACAAACAGCAAAACTTCTGAAGGACTTCGGGTGGATAACAAATTTAGGGCGGGAGTTGAGGGTTGCTTTGCAACTTCTCTAAACCTGAAAGTGGCTGAAAACCTCAGAAATTTCCAATGCATCCAGGGTTCAGTGGAGACACCCTATTGTGCCATTTGAAATTCTGCTTTGGCAGATAAATATGGAAGGTTAAAATTTCTGTTAGAGTTCTAAAATGCAACAGTATGTGCTGCACCCAACCAGGAGGTTGCTTCCAAGGAATGTCCAGCCAGGATAATGGGACAGAGCATATAAATTTTATTTCATTTCCTCCGGTTCTTGTAGGGTTGATTGGTTGGTAGAAATGGCTGGCAGCCAGTTCTGGGAAAGATTCCAGACCTGACTCCGATTAACCCTCTCTGGTGAAACTCTGCTGGAAACCAACTCACCAGCAATTGCCATTAATCTACTTACTAATTAAGCCAATTCATTTCTAAAGGAGAAAAATTCCTTTCTTTAGCCAAAGTGATGGCAGGAAATTTGAAAGAAGCGCCAAACTGTGTAACTGTAATTCAGCCAACGACTGCTAAAACAAGGTGTTGATATATAGCAGCAGATTTAAAACAAGTTTCTAGGGCAACACTCCTTTGGAGACGGTGGCATATAGTGCATAGTAGATGAAGCTCGAACAATGCTCCACCGCGCTATGCCACCCCATGTACTTGCGTTGAAAATGACACGTCTCTTTCCAATTAAACCTTGTCCCTTTTACGCACAAATAAATCGCCTCTTTAGCTTTCTTTTGCGCTAGAGTATATCAGCTTTATGTGACAGCTACCCCCAATATATTCCTTAAAACTTAGTAAATAGCTTTAGAAATTTGTAATCCAGCCCCTACGGCTCAGATACAGATTCTGACGGGGCCTTAACGTGCAGCTAGGGGAACAGAAAGGACGAAGACGAACATTACGCACTGGAGAAACGCACACCGGCCTCTGCGTAAATGCCACCTGGTGTTCCCGCCAAACACTCACACGTGAATCTTGCTCCTCATACTTACCCGGAAGCAAATCTCCAACGTCTGCCCACTTAGTAACGAATTGTTTACAGCCTTTAGGATAGGGCTAGGCGCTCTGAGCAGTGGTGTGTGGAGCTCCCTGGAGGAAATGTAAAATCCCCTGGAATCTTCGGGGTTCACCTTAATAGGGATCAAGTGATTAGGCGAGGGGACAGCAAATCGGTTTGGCTTTGTTAGAGACACGCTGGTTGAATGAGAGAGAAAGTTTAGTGCCTTGAAACTTTTTAATTGAAATTCCTCCCTTCCCACCCTTAGGCGCCTGGGCACACCTCTGAGCGCCCCAGTGGCTGTGGCCGTCCCCAGGGTCTGTGCGCCCCGCTCCCCCTGCGCGACCCAGCGGTCCCCTAAAGGCTTGGTTTTGGCGCGCGCAGAGGGCGCACGCCGGGCTGTGTTCAAACTCGGTGCTCGCGTTAATGTGCAGAATCCAGAGGGACTGAACAGTGAGTTTAGAAACTCCTTGGAGATGGCATCCCTGGCCAGGGAGGCAGGCCCCACGCCGGGAGGGTGAGGACCCTCTTTCTGTGCCCCCGCCCGGCGCTGCCCAGCTTCCTGCCCGCTTAGGGCGTGTCCGCGGGGCTGTTCTGGGGCATCGGTTGCTGTTGATTCTCGTAAGAGACTTCTTCCAGGGCTTCCGAAAACTTCCCTAAACAGGAGGAAAGATGAACAGACGTGAACTTGGTTTTACTGACTATGCGTAAAACACCACCACCCAAGCCTCGTGGCGCTTTGCACCATTTCTTAGCGGGTCCTCCCAGGCCTGGCCCCGGCCGGGGGCCTATTCGGTGACCTGGAAGAAAGGTGGCGGGGAGGTCGCTCAGGCGGCCAGATCCTCCTTGGCCTTCAAAACTGCGTGTGCCTCTGAGACAGTTCTCCGACTGGGAACTGTCTCTGGTGCTTGTGACCAAGGCCAGTCAATGACACTCTGCGAGCCATGGCAAGACGCTAAAAAAATCTGGGGAGAGTTGTCTTGTGTTTGAGTCCAGGGACTTAACTGAAAATTTCCTAAGACTTAAATTTCCATTTGCATTTCAATATTCTGTCCATATGAAATAGAAAATTATGAATGGGAAGGAAAAAAAAAACAAATTGGCACTGGGGTCTGAAATTGGGGAACTATGTTGTCCCCCCCTCGTCCCCCAGGCCGGGCTCTCTGCCCTGTACGGAGGGACATTTACCTGGTGTGTAAATTGGGAGGAAAGCGTTGGGGGTCTGAGACAGGAAAGCCACAACATGGGACGTGATGTTCCAGCTTTGAAGGCAAACAAAGGCCCTGAGCTAATCCCAGTGAAAGACAGGAGCGTGGAGAAGGCGACAAAGAATTGCAGCCTGCGGTCACCGGTAGGTGTCAATGTGGACACTTACAGACGGGGCAGTGGGAGAGGGGAACACAGAGCCAGGCTGTCATTCCAGGGCTTAACATGAACAAAGATAAAAACGTGACAACCTCGGCTTTCAATGGTTGGGAGGTTCAAAGTGGAGTGCTTGGAGTCTATCTGGGTCAAGTCTTTTCTGCAGAAGGGCCCTTTCTCTTTCTAGTCAAGTGTCACCCAGGGACACCCGGAGGGCCTTTTCCCAAAGTAACTTTCTCACTCAAGGATTTCTTCAAAGTAATGTCCAATCTACCTACTGCCTAAGGTGAAGAGATGGAACTTTCCAGACTCCCGAAAATAGTATAAAGCATAAGGGACATTGTTTTCTGCACCCCAGAGAGTCTAGGTGGTTGCATTCAGCGTTTGTGAACTTGAACAGCCTACCCAAACTTTTTGGACAAAGTTCATGTATTCTTTTGCACATTAATGAAAAGAAATGACATTTCATTTTATGCAACTATGCATATACATAGACGAATCTATGGGTACCACAGTTTAGAAAGTACGTGTCATACAAAGATGTTTCAGTTATAAGATGTTGAAAGAATAGTAAAAACCTGGTAGAATTAAGTATGCTTGAGATTTCAGCCTCACTATTATTAATAGAAATCAGCAGACGAGGTAGACAAATGAATTTCTCCTATAATCTAAGAAAGATAATTGGGAATCTTTTATTACCGCAACTCATTAACAAAGATTTCTCTTAGAAAATTAATAAATGGACATGATAAATTATGTTTATTCTAAGAACTCAGACACACTGTTTTTCTTAAGTTCTATTAAAACCAAAATACAAGTTTAAAAAAATCATAATGTAGTAAAATTCTGATTCTCTTTAGCTGAAGTAAGTCTCCTAAATAATAAAAAAAAGGATGTAAATATCCTTAAAAGACTAATGACATTTCACAGGTAATGCAATTTAGAAAGAAACACTTCCATGTTTTCTTTTCCAACAATGTGCATTTTTGTAAACTGCTATAAATTGCAATTCAAAAGCACTGATCTCGCCATCCCCAATCATTTTTTATACTGATCAAATGAATGCAGAAACTCCCATTTGGGAGGGGCGACATGACATTTCACTTGGCAGTTCTAAACAGGTCACAGACCTTTCACAGACCCTAAGGCAGTGGGAGGGAGCTCTTTGCTAAACCGTGTAACCAAATCAAACCAATGGTTACCCCTTTTCAAAACCAGTGGAATGGTTTGCACAATGCTATTCACATAGCAGCACAGAATCTGAAAGGATGGTCATCCCAATGGAAATTTCTTTCCTTTTGTTTAAACTTGCAGAGCTCAAAAAGTAATACTTGGAGGAAAACAATTGCATTTGCTATGATAAAAAAATCATAAACAATAAACATGCATGTTTGTTGGCACCACCTGACCGAGCTATAACTGTCCATTTGTATGTATATATATGCACATGTATGTATGTATATGTATGTATATTTATTGGAGATGTTGCTTTGTTTGAAACCTTCGGCACAAAGACACAACATGGCTGCCCTGGAGATGACCTATGCTTTCAAGTTGCTTGAACACATCAGAATTTCCATTGTTAAGGTTGATTAATTGAAACTGATAAGTTACCATGAATAAAGATTGTTTTTCTGTTTAATGTGGTGGGCCTGATTTGGTAAATGCCTCATTCATGTAGCTCTGCCGTGTAGCATATGGGTAAGACTCATTCGGTATCACAAACATATACAATTTATTATGCTTGTATGGGCACAACGAAAAGGCCTTTCTAGTTTAATGACAAAGTTTCAATGAAAAATTCCATTTAAAGAATCACTAGCAACATGAAGTGTGATTTTATAATTTATTCTTAAGAGTTTCTGCCTCTAGAAATTCAGAGTTTCTACCACTGCCAGGATAGTGATAAAAAAAAAAAAAGAAAGAAATTCAGAGTTTCTATGAGAACTTTAAAAGATATAATATTTAAACACAGTAAAAAAAAATAGATGTTTTTATCTAAATTATACCTTAACAGTAGGCGTTGGGAATAAAGCAGAATTTATCTTAAATGTTAGCAGACACATAGGAAGAGAAACCACTGTCATCTGATGCCACTGTGTGTGTCATACAATTGATAAAGTTACTGGGAATGTTTCATACAGAAGCCACGGTGATAGCTCATGCAGCTCAGTTTACACGGAGATGCGAAAGAGATTGGTAAATAACCTGTCAACTTCCTAAAGCCTTTTTCTTTCTTCTTTAATGACATCAGAAGACAATGTTTTAAAGGTAATTTGGGGACAATGATATGAAAACACAGTGGATCTATTATTTTTTTTCACAATTTGATTACTGTTAACTTCCTCTACTTTGAAAGTTGATATCACTTTTGAAAGAGTTAACTGCATGCAAACTCTCACGAGTGTTTACCAATAAAGGTAAGGTAGCTAACTTTTGTAATGAGGTTGCACAAAATCTTTATTTGCCTTTTTCATTTAGGTGGCTTTAATAATCACCAGAAGAAAAGAGTAATAACAACAACAACAAAAAAATACGAAAAGACATGCTAATGAACTAAAGAATTGACTGTACCAAACCATCAAAGAGATAGTTACCATATTCAGCCTTTAATGTCTCATCAAATAAATTCTCTGGTCATTCATGTCCATGAAACAGTTCAAGTTCACCCAACATTTCTCAATTAAATTAGATGGGTAATCTCAGTTCAACTGTTCTGGAGAGTAATAAACCACATTGGTCACAGTTGACCACAGCTAGCATGTGTATTATAAAGGACTGGATGTCCATTGGAAAGCTAATCAGTACACTATCACTTGTAAAATTCCCTCCTGCATTTTGAAGTGATAATCTGTATCTAATTTTTAAAGAAAAATTTACTCTTCTTTTCACTCCTCTGAGGCCAATTTCTTTTCTGGACCTGAATAGAGATCATTGGGGAAACAGTACCAAATAGCTTTGGTATGTGTACAACAAAAACCCACCTCTTTGTCGAACATAACAAATTATGCAATGTTCACAGATGTGCTTCACATTGTGCCTTTTGTGAGAAAACGAAGGCCCAACTCAATTCCCCACCCCCCTCTCTTTATGAAAGACTGGGCTCCCAATGCAATCTGTCCTAACCCTAGAGAAAAATAAATACTCTTAATATGGAAGCTTTAGATAGTTATTTCTAAAAGGATTTTCATTAGAACTTGGTCTGTGCAATTTTTGCAGGAATGAATTTGAAGGTACAAGCAGTTATGTAACTCCTATGAACAAGTGAACAGTTTGGGGCCTGAGGATTAGAATGTTAACTCCTGTAACTCACCTTCGACATTTAGATATTTAGTGCAAATATGGTTATCATGCAATTTCATGCTTGAATTTATAGATTACCAAGGAAATATAGTGATATTTCAATTATAATTTTTAAAATATACACACTGAAAATATTTAAAACTTTGTTTCTGTATCTTGGTTTTGGATTATTCTTATAAGATTATCTATTATTCTTATAATAGATAATCCTGACTAGGTAGCAATTTCTGCAAAAACAGTGAAGATTGCGGACAATCCTTCTGAGGCCCATTCTACCTCATGGGACCTCTGTAATCTTGGTCTGATTTTTATTGCATGTGCTAGTCTTTGAGTGACTGTCTTAGAAGATAAATTCCAAGCATGGAGAAAAATCTGTGTCCTACGGCTTTGCTTATAGTAGTTATTCATAAACTCGGTGGAACGAATGAACGAATGAATGAATGAATTAATTAACAAGGAGACGGTGAAACCTAGAAGGTTAAGTAGTGTGGCCCCCTGGGTATCCAGAGGCTTTGTAGTACCCTCCTACACTGACTCTGGTCTTGGACACGCAACTTGCTTTGGCTAATGGCACAAGAACAAATGTGACATCAGAAGGAACTTGAACTTGTGCCTTGGAGCTTGCTCTCTTTTGCTGCTCTGGTCCCAGAACCCTGGGACCTCATGAAAGCAAGCCTGGGCTGGCTACTCGCTTATGAGGGACATGAGACCTGGTTACTCCTGTCACCCAGCAGGCATCCAGCATAAGGCCATCAATGGTCAGCTGACCACAAAATATGAGCAAGCCCAGCAAGACCAGGCAGAAGACCCACTGCCAGGGGCAGGCATGTATAGAGGCACAGAAACATGGAACAGCATGAAACAGCAGGGACCAGCCATCGGATGCGATTGGGTTAGAGATATCTCGCAGGGGAGAGGCCGGGCTTCTGAATGGTCTTCTATGCTAAAATGAAGAACTCGATTTTATCCGGAAAGCCTTAGAGATCTACTG